CTCCTCCATTTCTTGAGCCCGACTGGTCCACCAGGCTTCCTTGTCAGCACGTAGGCTCCGCTTTAGTTCACGCCTAATAGCCCGTCTGGTCACATTGTGTTCAGAACCAGCCGGGAGGTGCCTTCTAGCTTCCAAAAGGTTCACGGACCTCTCGGATATCCAGTGACTGGTGCGATGACGACTGATAGTGCCACAAGCAGATGCTCCTGCGTCGTGCATAGCGGCCGAGATCCTATTCCACTGAAGTTCAGTGTCATTAGGACAAGACAGCGAGAGTTCGCTATGCAGTGCTTCTTGATAGGCTTGCCTGACAGATGGCTGGGACAATTTCTCCGTTGCCAATCGGGGGAGACGCTTTGTGCGCCTTCCGGTAAAGTTCATGGAGAAACGACAGCGCACCAAGGCATGGTCAGAGTCGACACAGGTACTCCAGTATGAGCGGCAATCCAGAATGGAACCGCGCCACCTGTAACTTATGGCTATGTGGTCAATTTGGGTCCATCGCTGACCAGCTACAGGTGGACGCCAAGTGGCACTTCGGCGCCCACTGTGTCTAAAAGCAGTGCTAGTAAGAAACAACTGGTGCTCCGCACACAGTTGCAGCAGACGCTCGCCGTTGTCAGTCCGTTCGGCGTTAAGTCCATACTTACCACCCAGCTGAGCTTCTGAAGAGCTCAGACGCCCTACTTGTGCGTTCATATCCCCTGCAAGTACTACAATATCTGAACTAGTAGCACTGCGTAGCAGCGTGTTCAGTTCGTGATAGAAAGTGTCCTTGACTGCATTAGAACTGCAGTCCGTGGGAGCATAAGCAGAAATCACAAACAAACAGCGTTTTGTTTTACTTCGCGAATTCACCTTAGCTGATGTAGTCAAACGGGCTGCACATAAACGGCTGTTCACCGGAATCCAATCAACCAACGATGACTCAGCCTTGGAGCTGAGAATGATACCTACACCAGCTTGACCCGTGAGTGCCGCATCGGCGTCTCCGGATGCGTGCAACCAATAAGGAGAGGATAAGCCGGGTGCAGTCAATTCAATAACCCCGTTAGGGTCATTAATCCTAGTTTCGGACACACAACACACATCAACACCCAGTGTGTCTAAGGTGCGTGCGAGTGCAGCCTGCTGACCTGTTTGTCTTAGAGTGCGGACGTTGAATGTCGCCATGGTAATGGGACAGCGTGGCCTTATAAGGAACTTTTGCCGATAGGCGTCCGATAGGTGCTGTGGTATGGTGGCTGCAGATGGTTCTACTCCAGTAGCACTTCGGTTGCTGTCAATTAAGCTGGGAATTATAGAAGGAAGGTTAGTAATGGGGGCCGGGATGGGAGTAAGAGAAAAAGGTGGAAAAGAAAGAAGGGAGGCGCCAGCAGTAGCATGCTTTCGCTTATCCGCCCTGCTGTATGCAGCAGATAAGGCGACCCTTGATAATCTGCGCGACGGCCGATGCAGGATGAAATTTATGTTTGAAGAAAATGTCATGGTTGTATGTGGGCTGGGATACTGCCAGGGCGCCCAGACCTAGACAGGAGAACGATTAGGGTCCTCATCCAAAGCCTTTGGCTCAAAAGCCTGTCCGCAAGGCAGCGGGGAGGTGGCAATGATTTAGTTTTACAGAAATGGACGCCATCCCATTTCAAACCCCCAACCTGGAGGACCAGGAGACTGAGTTTGTCTGACCTCTCACCATTGACCAACCTGGTAGGAGTAGCTCTCAAGATGCTCGGAGGCATCACCCAGTATAGCTCAATGGGTCAATGAGGTACGCAAACCGTCGCACCACGTTAAGGTCCAGTCTCGTTGCGACGGAGCAAAGTAGACAATTACAGGCCAATTTGTCTGACACCTATATTGGCAAAGGTTGCTGAGAAAATCGTGAAGAAGAGATTGCTGCAGTTGCTACAGTCAAACGAGGTCCTGACGCCCGCACAGCACGGTTTTATGCAAGGTCGCTCATGCATTACTAACCTGCTTGTGACGAGGCATGAGTGGTTGAAGGCAATAAACAAGGGGAAGTCCGTCGACGTGATATTCATCGATTACAGTAAAGCGTTCGACAAGGTCAGTCATGAGGTTCTCCTTCACAAACTCAGCATGTGTGGCGTCGGTGGCTCACTGCACCGGTGGATCCGCGACTTTCTTGTTGGACGAAAGTGGAGGGTACAGGTTGACGCCCATCTAACTGACTGGTACCCCTCTACAAGTGGCGTGCCTCAAGGCACTGTGCTGGGGCCCACTCTGTTCCTGATCCACATCAACGATCTGCCGCAGCTTCTCCGGTCGCCGTGTGCCTTGTTTGCGGACGACATGAAGATTTGGAGAGAAATCGACGCTCCCGATGACTGTGGCCTACTTCAGCAAGATCTCAACCGCTTATCCACATGGTCTGCAGAAGTTCTTCTCCCGGTCAACCCAGCCAAGTCCGTATTTATGAGCCTGGGGAAGGGTGCAGACGGCCGAACCTACACCCTTGACGGCCAAACGCTATATCCCACACCCTCCGTGAAGGACCTAGGTGTACTCTCACGCTACGATTTGAAGTCCGTGGACAACACGAACAGGCTATATCGGAACGGACTGCGCATGCTTTGGGCGCTCAAACGTAGCTTCTGCACATGGTCTGAAGAGGTTGCCACTCGCCTGTTCTCTTCTATCATTAGACCAATGCTAGAGTACGGTTCGCCCGCCTACTTTCCGATTACCAGAGGCGAGGCACAAAAGATCGAACGGGTCCAACACGTTGCTACCAGGCTCATCCCGAGTTTACGTGGTTTTGGGTATGAAGACCGGTGCGAGAAACTAGGACTCTACACCTTGTCCTACCGTCGGGTGCGAGTCGACCTTAGTATGACCTACCGAATTCTACATCTCGGTGAGTTCCCCATGTTAAGGCCAATGCTGCACTTACGAGGGCCATGCAGCACACGCGGACACAGATACAAACTTGTTGTGCCGGATATGAAACGTGTTCCCCACCCACTGTGCTTCGAACAGAGAGTGGTAAACATTTGGAATAGTTTGCCCGAACATGTGATTGAGGCAACATCTGTGCAACAGCTCAAAACGTTGTTAGATTTGCATTTTGCCTCTATTCGATTCAGAGAACGACTGCACACTTACGATGACATCACATTTGTGAATCCTGAAATATCGTAAGTCGAATATTTTAAATATTACATGAGATCGACAATGATATTCAATGTTGACAACTTTTATAACGTTTTTCGCCATATCTCGAAAGAGTTGTACAGAATCCATTTCCACTTGCTCTATAATACAGTATTCAGTATTCATGCTCCCAAGTATATTGGTAAACCGTGGTATATATATATATATATATATATATATATATATATATATATATATATATATATATATATGGTTGGCGGCATCCGTGTCCGGATTTGCCTGTCACCGCGGCCAGCCACAGGACGCCTGCGCCTACAGAGGGACCATGGGTGGCTTGCGCTGCACCACCCACAGCTCCGACCACACACCCTATATCCAGTGTAAACGCGAAAGAATTAGACCGGGAGACATGTGGGGGGGAGTCAGGTTTCGTCAACGAAGCCGACCCACACTCCTTCACAGGCAAACACAAGCACGCTGTATTTGGGGAATCAAGTGCACACAAAGCGGTGGCTAGACCATAGTCCGCTCCACACTGAGTGCATGGAATCACTCTTCGAGCCTAGCACGGCCACAAGGACAGTGCACCCCGTCCCCTCTAACAACGACACCCTGTCTCCTGGAGCCTGTATGCACCAGCTCATGCGTCTCCGATAGTTTATGGTGAAGGAAATTGTGACCACGATATCCTAATCTCTTAAAAACCCGAACTTGGTTTTTGCCAAATACTTTCTGTTTTCCTGCCTCGAATGCAGGTTAGCTACGACATGCAGTAGAAACACTGGAAACAGTGCACTAGCGTTCAAGGGAGTCATCTCGAAAAACACTAAGTAAACATGTATATCTTGAAATAAATGAGTTCCATGGAACCAATCTCTAATTTTTGTTAGACAGAGCATGTACGTGAAGGGGACTGCGAAAAATGGAATGAAAACTCATACAGCTGAATGAAAGCAGCGTTAACAAAATGTCTGGTATGAGGCAGGAAGCAGATGTAAAAACGATATGAAATTAAGTTTTCTATCCTCAGAAGACCCAAGAGGGTTAAGATTAAGTGTCCACGATGGGATGTAACGCATTAGGGTGTTCCGATCACAGTTGAGTAACTGAGCCGAGATGGTCTGTGAGATTCCTCTTAGGTGCCTGCACACGAGAAACCAAACGGACCCGTCCACACTAGTAAAAGAAGGAGCCATTGTTTGAGCTCCCACTGATTTGTATTGCTCAGCGAAAAACCCCTGGCTGTGGTTGAGACAGTAAGGCTTAATACAACTAGCAACAGCTCTGAGAAGTCCAGCTAGCGTACTGTTTCTAGCTTAATCGAAAAGAGGAACGGAACAAGCATAAGTTGAAGGAAATAACAGCATTCCATATATTGTCATTTGCCTAACATTCATGAATAGGAGCACGAAAAAGCGAAGTCAGGCTCTAGCAAAACGGCGGATATGAACGAGGGTCAAAGAACATAAGTAAATAAATAGATTAATGAGGATTTATTAGTCAACATGGTCAGAAAGAACTCGGAATAGGTATCACAACTGAAAGAAAAGCAGAACGATGGAATGCCAAAGAAGACAGAGATCTCTGCTAATCAGACAAAGGAACCGATGAAAAAACATTTTGCAAACATAGGGATTACGATGCTGATAAAGTGGGGATGCCAACATGAATTGTGACATTCTTAGTCGAAACACAATGAGACCTAAGAAAAATATCCATATTTGACTTGTGTTAAAGAATGGAAGAAGTGGTGTTGGATATCGACGGTTAAGAAAAGTTCACCAATGGGATGCCGTACGTTTCAGAGTCCGTGGATGAGACTAGTCGAAAAGTAGATAGAAGTAACCACTCCCACCGGTACCCACCTTTGAACGCTGATTGTCGAAGAATCCCAAGCACACAGTATTCGGACGCATTGCCCCTAGACCAGAGATACGTATCAGGTGAGAAAGCGCCCTGCGTACATCGTTGTCGATGGTCACCTCAATGAACGCTTTCACTTTCAGAAAATGTGCGTACTCAGTCCAATACCTGGGAGGAGATAGAGTGGAGGACGCCTTGATAAAATAAAAACTAGACAGATTGTGAAATAAGCACTGTGATGGGAGGTAACAGCAATGGAAATATTATAAGAAGATCAACCGAGGCTTAAAGATAAGAGAGTAAACCGCCCCAAGATATGTATGAGGGAAAAATTAATGACTTCGTAACGGAGTGCCAAGAACGGGGAAGAAAATCTGGAGGAACAAAAGAGAAGACATCAGTATAACGCCGGTACGCCATACCGACGCTTCGCTGCCACTACTAGTCGCGTGTGGGCCAAGGACAGTGTGAGAGTAGCCCGGACTCCGACGCAGGCTCGAACCGGTGACCTTCGGGTTGCAAGGCAGACGCCTTGTCCTTTCAGCTACCGCGAGACGAAAGAGAAAACACAAGAGTACGGCATAGAAAAGCAACTAGTGAAGTGAGAGACGGATAATTACAGTTTTGAGTATAAGGCGCAACTCTTATGTTCAAAGCCTCGAGGTATTCATATGTTCACCGAGCCCCAGACGTCCACATAACATACAGTAGATGGTAGTAAACAGTAGGTAAGACACAGGCCAGGGTAAAAAGTATGCTAGAACTTGGAAACCGTTCAGACAAACCAGTAAAACACGCTTCTCAAAGAGTAATCCTTCGAATTAACCTTAACAACCAAGGTGATTTAACCGGATGCGGGTAAACAGAAAAGTGAAAACCGTGAGCCGTTCCCTACGACAAAAGCCAATGTTCTGATATTGATGTCCAAGGTTTTTGGATGTTGCGCAATGCTTCTGGACGCAGCGACAATGTACAGAATATATTGCGCAAGTGAATCGCATCATCATCATCATCATCAACAGCAGTACATAAGCCAAATGAACTGATGTTCCGATGCCGTACAACAGCGGTGTCCTACGGAACGTAGAACATTAAGAGGGAGAGAAGAAGGATCCGGCGTAAAACCGCCATATGAAGCGTTAGAAAGCCTCCGGCCCCCCATGGTCCTCCTCCAGCTCTAGTAAAAGATGGTGACGCTTAGCTGGTTCGAGAACTCACCGCTTTGTTCTCGAAAGTTTGGTCGAAAGAGGAAGTTCCGTCATCTTGGGGTGGATCGATAGTTTTCCTCATCTTCAAAAAGGGCTCGCGCACAATCTGCTCCAACTACAGAGGCATAGGCTTAGTCCCCGTCGTTTGCAAGCTGCTGGTGTAAATCATACTTCGCAGAATATCCCAAATGCGCGAATCGTTGCAGCGAGAAGAACAAGCTGGGTTTCGCCCTGGTAGCGGCTGCATCGATCAAATCTTCACACTCCGCCAGATCCTCGAGCTCCGCCATGCGTATCAGAGGCCAACCATTGCTGTGTTCTTGGATAGCCGTGCAGCCTTCGATTCTGTCGATCGGACGGTACTGCGGCACTGCCTACTGAGGAATGGTGTCCCCGAGAAGTTCACCTCCATATTGCGCGCTCTGTATAACCTGACCTCAGGTAGGGTTAGGACTTATGGTAAGCTTTCGCCTATCTTTGTGGTCTCCAGTGGAGTTTGACAAGAATGCCCTATCTCTCCATTCCCATTCAACTTTGCCATTGAGGATGTCCTAAAGAACGCTTTGAGCGATTCGTTGAAAACTGGCGTTGGGCTCATCCCAAGTAGTCGAGTTGTTGATTTGGACTATGCTAATGATATCGTCCTGCTAGGTGACGATCCACATGCCGTATAACTTGCACTAAACCGCTTAGCGATTGAAGCATCAAAGTATGGTATGTACTTTTCGCCATCCAAATGCAAGGCTCTCTTTCAAGACTGGCAGGTGTCTGTGCCTGTACTCACTCTTGGTGGTGAGACACCAGAGGTTGTGGAGAGCTTTGTCTACTTGGGAAATTGCATCACTGCTGGCGGAGCTGTTGGAGACGAGATTTCGATGCGCATCTCGAGAGCACACCTCGCTTTTTCTAGGCTGAGGCACTTGTGGCGTCACCACGACATTCGTTTCACCAGCAAAGGGCGGGTCTATTGGGCAACGGTTCGTGCTGTACTGTTGTACGGATGGGAGACTTAGCCCATTCGTAAAGATGACCTGCGCAGGGTATTTGTCTTCGAGCACCGCTGTCTGCGGTCCATTGCCCGTGTGTGTTGGCGGCACCACGTAAGCAATGTGGAAGTGCGACCTGTGGTGGCTGCGCGGCAGCGAAGCGTCGGTACTGCGTACCGAGTGGTGCGGAAAGACAGTTGAAGACGGTATGACTCCAGTGACATTGCGGTTGCTGTCAATTAAACTGGGAATTATAGAAGGCTAGTAATGGGGAGTTGGAGGGTAGTAAGAGAAACAGTTGGAAAGGAAAGAAGGGAGGCGCCAGCAGTAACATGTTTCTGCTTATTTGCCCTGCTGTATGCAGCAGATAAGGCGACCCTTGAAAAGCTGCGCGACACTCGATGCAGGAGGTGGTTGAAGTTTGAAAAAATGGTCATGGTTCTACGTAGGCTGAGATACTGCCAGAGCACCCAAACCTAGACAGGAGAACGATTAGGGTCCTCGAACAAAGCCTTTGGCTAAAAAGCCTGTCCGCAATGCAGCAGGGGGTGCAAATGATACGGTTTTAAAGAAGTGGACACTATCCTAATTAAAACTCCCAACCAGGAGACCGAGTTTGTTTGACCTTTAACGACCGACCAATCTGGTAGGAAAATCTTACAAACGGCCCAAGGCCCCAACCAATATAGCTCAATGGGTCGACGATGTACGCAAACCGTCACACCACGTTAAGGCCCAGTGTCCTTGCGACGGCGCATATGAATCTTACGACAGCGGAAACTCATGAAACAAAGAGTCATCAGCAGTACGCAGTATCGACGCTTCGCTGCCGCGCAACCACCACAGGTCGCACGTGGGCTAAGGATACTGCGAGGGTCGTTCTGCGCCCGCCAGATTATTTTTAAGCTAAAAATTTTACACGGCACTAAATCCGATCGAGCGTGCTTGTGGAACTAATTCTCGTGAAATACGCCAATGTATTTCCAAATGAGCATACACAAGGGATGCGATGCCCATCCACACACTTTGACTGTTGTCTAAAGGTAAAGGCGCAAATTGTCAAACTTAGGGAACAAAGAAACACAATATTAGTGAGTCGTAGGGGGGTGTATTGGGTTTTGTGAAGATTCGTCGAAGCTAGACTGAGGCAGACAGCCACCACACGTCGAGGAAAGCGCTTTCCTGGACGAATCTACACAAAAAAGGAACACACGATGAGATACCAGCGCATTTCAGGTTGGTGATGGTAAATCGATGAACTGAGCGAGTACTCATAGGAGTCGGAATGGTGCTGAACAAGTAGAGTTCGTCAAATCGGCAAGAAATTGACTGACGAATAAGTAGCGGGAGAGAAGGTGAACTAGAGGGGGGAAAAGGCAGCAATAAATGGACTAAAGGAGAGCGCGGAATTCAACGGTAGGCACTGTTTCAGGTTTAATGAATCCAACACGCAAAGGAGTTTTGTTCGATCGATTGCTAAGCGAGCAATGTATCCACAAATTTATCGACGCCAAAAGGTATTCACTAACGCAACCGTTGCAATTAGAAAGGAATTAATGTGTGGGATGAAACCGTTGTAATGGTCCAATCCCAGCGCAGCAAGGGATAATACTGCAAAACGCGAAACATGTTCAAAGACATGAGAACGAAGCCAAATCACATGCCAACGATTATGAGAAAACAGTGCAATCACACTGTTCAAAAGGAGTGTCGGAGAGTGATCGCTGCTTCGAGGCGGCTCTGCAGATCACAGCGATGGTATGATAAATAGTTAGTCCTCAAAAACACGGAATCTGCAGGTATTCGGCTCAATATATTTTCGGTAACACTTATGACGAGTGTTCTGCCCGCCTGGCTTGCAATTATGAGGGGAGGACGTTCACTTGGTATACTCAGCTCACGGGCGACTGGTGGTGGTCGCGCATCAGCGAAGCACCGTTATGGCGTACAGCTGATAATTTGTTATGTATATTTTTATGCCGATTCACGGTTTCAGAGTGCGATATTGGCGGCCTGATAGCCGGCAAAAGCAAAGATACATTGAAGCAAAGTTATGCAATCCGAGGGCATACCAGACATTCGACATCCAAATTTATATGTAGTCGCTAGAAGTATGAAAAATGAACACGAGTGAAAACTGGTAGTAGCACTTTGGCACCATCAAAGCGAGGTAGAGGATAGCAACCGGGTAAGCTAAGCTCAAAAGCCCGATGCGAACACACCGATCACTCGTAGTTGCGGTCCGATCAAATCATACGATGCCTTGATCGATATGCGGCTAATAACTGGTCACAGATGATTCCTGGACCAATAAACGCTGAAGACGATCGTTGAACAGGGGAAAATATAAAGATGACACGGAAGCTCACCATCGCTGTTCTGCCGTGACATCTACACCATCTTTTGGATTGGTAGGATCACTGCAAATCACATGCCCGAGAACAAAAAGACCACCTTTTTTGACGCTATTCATAAACTGGACAAGTGAGGCAGATGAACGAGGATTTGAGACTAGCAAGAGGAGCTGCAAACGCCAGTATTTCACATGCTCTTTCCTAGCATCCAAGAGCAGAAGGTATTTTCGGACCTGAAAGAATAGCAATACAATATGTACAGAAGTAAGGTGAGTTCGGTTTGTATTGAACAATGCAAGTGAAAAGCAATTCACGGTAGGCCATCAGTGAGCATAACATATGAGACTTAAGAATGGAAGCCATGCCAACGGCCAGCTGAAAAAAATCTACCGCAAGCACAAGTAAACCAGTCTATCTTGTTGAAGACAGTTAGTGGACACACATATGTGTTGATCCATGAAAATATGATTGGGAACGCAGGCGGAATAACCTCACTCATTGTCAC